GTGAAATATATTTATGTTTGTGGTTGTAATGTGACAAAATATGGAAAAGTTCAAGGGGTATGAATACTTTTGCAAACCACTGTAAACTGAAGTACAACAAGCCACTGGATTCTGCCTCCTCCCTTTTGGACATATAGGGTTAAAGTTTTGTTTGTTTGTTTTTGTATAAAGTGTTTTTATGTGACCAAATAAAATCGTTCACTCATTTATGTAATGTTTAGCAAAGAAGAAAGGGCTAGCTCAAACAAGCAAAAAGGATTAAAATAAAGATGTAAATCATAGCTACTTTTCCTAATTATTAGCATCTCCTGATGGAAATTGCTGTAATTAAGCTTAAATGTTCACATAATATTTCATTAAGAACTGTTTTTATAAGCAATGAAGAATGCAGCTTTAGTAAGTGTAATTTAGTTTGGTTGAATCAATCCATCCATGATATTCAATCTCTGGATATAACACTGCTCACCAACATGGCTGCTTAACACTACAGCTCTAACTCACATTTGCTTCTTGCTCTCTGCCACAATAACAAGGGCACAGAATGAGGAAGAGGTGTCCCTGAGACAAACTACCTTTACCAAAGTTCATTAAGTCAAGGTGCAGTAAGGACAGGCAAGTGCTGAAAGCAGCAGCCAACACAAATACAGCCTGGCAGCTGAAACACAGGATACGCTGTAATTCAGAGAATAGCTCCTGTTTTCTGTCTGACTTCCAGATGGCATGTGTTCCAAGCAGAAAAAAGGAAAAGGCATGAAAACTTCAAAGCCACAGCTAAAGCTTAACAAATTTTGTGCTAAAAGAAACAACAAAAGTTGTTATTTTTGTCTTTAAATGAAGGATGTTTAAGTACAGACTCACAAAGTCCAACCCTGAAAGCTTTCTGTATGGTTTCCACTCAGCACAAGCTGCTGATAAATTGATAAAGCCAGAAAAAGGTGCCATGAAATCAATTACAGAACGAGAAATTAAAAGACTTTTTCTTTGGTTTTGGACTTTCTCTATAAATATTTGAGTAAAAAAAAGATTTTAAAAAACACAGATCTTTAGAAAAGAAATTTTTAGCAACTGTAGTAATATTAATGAAACACATTTTGGACCACTGTCTTTAGAAATCAATCTTTTACAAATATCCTTAAAAACATGGCACCATATTTACAAATGTTTCCACATTTTAACACAGAAAATGAGCCAAAATGATGTATATAAATAAGTATATGACACTGTGTCACATTAAACTACTACTGATTGAGAGTCATGTCGGTCCAAATACACAGAACACAAGTAACAGAATCTTTCAGAAACTGTGTCTACTAACTGGACAGCTGTAGCAAATGATTTTCCTCATCATGTTTAATATGGCAACTTTATTTTAAACACAAAAGTCTATTTTTATTTTTTATCATTATGTTTTGAGTCACCACAATCTGTGCAGAGAGAAAAGCACTCTAGATGTGCTGATCTGTTAACAGGAAAACGAACTGCAWCCTGTTTGCTTCGCAGTTTGCAGGTAAGTAGGTTAAACTGTTTGCTCCAATGAGTCTTTAGATTCATTAAGTTTATCTTTACGTTGACATATTTTCACCTATCAGTACAGAAGCACTTTTAATACATGTGTTTTCAATGGTTGCACCATGGTTTAATGAACTTGTGATATCTTGACTTTTTTTTGTTTTGTTTTATCTGTTAAACATATAAAAGATTATTATGTAAGTAAGCAACTACAATTGCTATTTAAATAGGGTAAATGAGCCCAAAAAATTATGTTTTTTTTTTACATATGCTGCGGAAATGTAAGCCTGTAGCTGAAAATGCAGACAGATTTTTTGKAAACCAAAAATGTTTCAACACCGACAAACTAGACCAATCAATGTAAAAATTGTAATATATTGTTTTTGATCATTTATTAAATTGCATTTATTCAAAAATGTCTCAACCCATCAAAAAAAATGTTCTTTTAGACTAAGAGGCTCTAGAAATGTTCTGAGAAACCCTGAAGAATACAAAGCTGCAGACGTTGTAAARAGATCATTCAAGTTTTAAACWGTTTCTTACATATTTTAATGCACTTATGTTGTACCTAGGGCTGCCATGATTAATCGATTAATCGACGACTAATCGATTATTAAAATAATCGATGACCAATTTAATAATCGATTAATCGTTTTCTTTTTCTTTTGTTCTTTACTTTGTTTTTCTCTCCAAACTGCTTTGTCACCTTCCACTGCCACGTCTGCCTTTCTGTCCTTGACACACATGCACAGTAGTGGTAACTGGGGTAGGCCGTGGACGTCACAAGACATTATACAGACAGGCTCTGGTATCATGGCTACCTGCGGAGTTCAAAAGTGTGGGATCATTTTAAGAAAATGAAAGAGAAACCTGTYCAATATCTGCAGAGCAGAACTTGCCTTCCACAGCAATTATTTTTAGTTAGCATATAGCTAAAATCTAACCATGGTTATATAATAGCAGCTGCATTCTGACGTGATAAGCTGTATGTTTTATATTCAATTAACGTATGATCCGATTAGTCGACTAATCAAATAAATAATCGGATTAATCGATTATTAAAATAATCGTTTGTGGCAGCCCTAGTTGTACCCATTTATCAAATGTTACATTAAAAGCTGTTTTAGAAGCATAAACTCAAATCATGACCCACCCTCAGATTACTTTGAGTTTTTATTTGAAATCTGTCCCCTGATATATACAGTATTTTGGACAATAAAACAGGTGCTACAGGTTTTATTTTTTCCTGGCACCAGTGTTATCTCTTCTTAGCCACTATCAGGCCTTTCAGTCTGTTCTCATTTCCTGATATAATGCATCTCACCTAGAGCCAGCATAAAGTTAGAAGTCAACACTTAGCACTCCATCAGCTTCATACAGTGACCTACTCTGACTGTGACCTGGTTTGACAACCTCTGACGAACCAGCACAGCAACCCACAACCCCTTAATTGCAGTGACGATGTTTGTGATGCGAGTGTGAGTCTTCCATAGTGCGTGTGTGTGAGAACTGAAATAAAGTAACCACGGTTTCCTCTGCCACGCCTCTCAGGTTTGTGAGATCTAAACAACTTGTTGGCCATATTTAAAGCCCAGTTTAGAAAGTGTTTACGGTACTTTGCGGATAATTACACAAGAGACCAACTCCAGAGCACGGAGCATGCACAAACACACCTATTGAAATAAAGTGGATTTCCTAATTTTAAGATTAAGTTAAATTAATTTATGGCTACCTAAAAAATCGGACGTAGTGCTTTTCTTTTGACATCAGTGGCTCGATACAAAAAATGTAATCTATTGATGTGGACAGACACACAATATGTCTGTCTGTACTTTGTCTACATGGAAAATCAATGAGACAGTTAATTCAGTACAATGGGACAGCCATGGACATGAACTGACCTTGTACAACAAGGCCTTCAGCTGACTGCAAAATAGCAACACAGCAAAGGAACACAAACACTGCTGTTTAAAACATGAACAATATCCTGTTCCACATGTTCCTGGGACATGACTGACTCTTTAAACACACACACACACACAAAAGTTTAGCGTTTTCACCATGTTACACACAGGAAAATGAAAACACAAAACTTGGTACATAATAAAGGCCTAGTATTTGGATACATGCAGTATTACCAGGTGCTGCTCATGCCAGAATTTGAAATCATTTTATGCTAAGAAACGGCTGAGATGTAGATGTTACTGCGAGATGTCACACACACACACACACYTATGTTTATGACACTCAGCCACTACTACATCAGGTTTTAGCGCAGTATTAAAAAAATTAACTGAMTCAGTTAGATGTGGTGGCCAACTTAAATTGTCTTGGCTCTAAAAGTTAAGCCTGGTTTATACTTCMTAAGAAATGCAGCAATTCTGTATTAATTGCGGATGTGTGACAAAAATTGTGTATTTTTCTTCTCAAACCACCTCCAGGAACCCATTCGGTATAACTTAATGTCTTGGAGAGTATGTGCCAAGTATTGGGGAGAGAATTTGCGGGCGTGTTCATGCAGAAAATGAGCTGCAGCAGTACACTGCTCTGCTGAAGAGCAGATGTCTGCAGCTGTTWGAAAATACAGCCATCTTTACTGTTCAAGTAAAACATAATGATAYTAAAAATCAAAACATATYAAGASTTTATTTTGAAAATACYAATGTTGTGCTRGTTCCTTTTCCTGTTGGATGTGATCTTTATAAATAGACTGACCCCACACTTGCTTCGCTGTCCAAAAAATTAGAATAGATTCCAACACTGCTGTGTGCATMCATTGTAAAATGGGGTTAATCTGTAAAACTGACTAAACTATACCCATTGTTGTGTCTTCTAAAGTCAGTTGGCTGTGACAGTCACCTTGAATTTGTGTCTCCAAAATGTTATCAGTTGTAGATAAGATCCATTGACTATTTCTTAAGTCTCATTAGATCTCACCCAGAGGTCCAATTCAAAAGWWATTTTGCTAACAAACGGAAACACACATAAATCTCAAAACAATTGCGAGCCTTCAGCGTTCAGTGACAAATGATATGCAGGGATTAATGCTACCTTTGTTTGAAACAATCWATTTTGACAGAGGTAGAACTTTTGAAACAATTTATAAATGGTTTGTAAGTGGGCTAAAGAATCATGAGAGGCTAAACTAATATTGTGGATTGGTAAAAGTAATCAAGTTTCATTCTTGAGCTGTGGAGGCTCAGCGCTTATTGTCCCTGTTCGTAGTCAGACTCACGTCTTGATACATTTTCCTTAATTAATAGCATGACTCATTACATTACTGGAGCATCACTCACAGGCCTTCGGGTGTTACATACCTACAGCTGGAGCATCATACTCATCGCCTAGGAGTATTTCCGGTGCAGAGTATGCCAGTGATCCACAACTGGTGGTTAGCTTTTTCCCTGGCTGAAACTTGTTACTGAATCCAAAGTCAGTGAGCTTAACAAGTCCTTGTTTTTCAAAGAACACCACGTTCTCAGGCTTGAGGTCCCTGTGCACCACATGCAGGCGATGGCAGTAAGAGATTGCGTGGACTATCTGGGCAAAATATTTCTTGGCCAGCTCTTCATTCAGACCTTGCTCGTGTTTCATGATGTAGTCAAACATGTCTCCTCCATCACCCAACTCCAAGATGAGGTAAAGCTTGGTCTGAGTGTCTATCACTTCGTACAGCCGCACAATATTAGGGTGCTGCACCAGCTTCATGCAGCGGACCTCCTGGAAAAGGTGACCCGTCGCGACAGTGTCCAGCTTGGTCTTATCAATCACCTTGACGGCCACCTTTTCCCCGGTGAAGACGTGACGCGCCAGCTTGACCACGGCAAAGTGGCCACGGCCCAGCGTCTTATCGAGGTCATACAGACCAGCAATCTTGCCYTCATATCCACGTTTGAAACCTGCCATAGCTGGAGAGGGCGACGGGGACAGGGGAACCCCTGCTGTGGGCYGGGGCAGGTTGGTGGACTGACGTGGATCCAGTTTATTTCGGTTCATCCAAGGCTGAAGAGGAAACCCATGGCTCCAGCATCCTAAGAGTAAAACATACACTAAATTACTGAAATCTTTAAGCATGACACGTGCAACATTAGTCTTGCATAAGAAAAAGACGAAACAGTATGTACAAAATAAAAAGTAGCTACCAGTCCAAAACCTGAAGTATTGCGAGAAACAGAGCAGCTGTACATGCATGAGGCAGAATCATAAAGATGACACTGGTAACCAAACTTTGTAAATAATAAAACGACATGTAGAAAACAAATGTCACCTGGTCCTTCTGCAGCAGCTCTTTGTAGCTTTGACCAAAAATAATACGAAAATGAGTTATATTTGTAATCAAAACAATAACAGAAAATGCTAGATTTAGAAGCATTTTTCTGTAATGTTATTGTTATACAAATATGTGACATAAATCAAATATCTAACACTGAATGATACTAACAATGCAAAAACAAAGCAGATCTGCCAGTTTGTACCAGCCTCTTCAAGTTCATTTCATTAATTAAACAGACTGATCTTCATTCTTCGAAATACAACAACAAAAAATTACAATTATCTTGCATTTTTCTACAAAATGGTGAGGGGGAATAAAATATATGCATATATGTAACATATCAATACAATGAAATACGCTTCTCTGAACACATTTAATGGAAGAAGGGCAGAAATGGGTCGCTTGATTTTGAAAGTTGCTAAAAAAGTAGAAAATCCCTAATCTACTTTTCATCCTGAAGGCGGGCTGCTTGTTTTGACAGGACAGTAATTGCAGAACTACGTTAAATGAATAGTCCTATTTCCAATATTAAAATAAACTTTACAAAGTAAAACCCACCTTATAAAAATGTGTTATGTCAATACATAAAAGTTGGAAGAGCAAGTTTAGAAGTCAGCTATAAAACGGGCCCAGTGTGGGCATAATCAGTTAGCTTAGCATTAGCACGAGCTAATGCGTTGTTCATTGATTTACAKATGTTAGCTTAAGAGACTGCCGATGTGCGTTACCGTTTTTAAAGACCAAAACGAACCATTCAAATTAGTTTTCAGCTACACAGCAGGGCCCTGTTCGCACAAGTTCTCCCAATCTGTTTCAAACTTCAGACTGCTAGCTGCGGTTAGCGTGATGCTAACTAGTTCCTGAGGCTCGTTCAGCTGAGCTCACCTCCCGCAGCAGCTTCTCTCCAAGAAACATTAAGTCCCGGTCGTCTCCGASTACTCTGGACCTCTCAGGAGTGACTGTTCAATTTTGCGGTAAAGACAAAGACGGTGCAGCTTCACCTTGAGGACGGCAGTACTGATAAGGCACCTATGCCCGGGGTTCATCCGTGAGATGAAGCATTGTATCGTTGGCAACCGCTGCCCTGTTCGCGATGGTTGTGCATCCTCCCAGCCGGGGGGCGGGGCTGAAATGATGCGTTCAGGGACCAAAGAAAAAGTGTCGACATTTCCACATGCCGCAGATCTGGTTGTCTCAAACTATTTCCAGACTGTTCAAGCAGCATGTATTACAAAAACAATAGATTATCGAAAACATTATTGTGTTAAAAACTGTTATGGCGTAAACATTTTCTCACAAACTAAATGAGGCAACACAAGTTGTGTGATGGGAGTACTGATTCTTACGAAAATGTCTCGAAGGCAACACGGGAACTTAATCAACCGCATTGAGCTCTGACGTCAAAGTCTTTTGATGGAYAAAAGGCGCAGCGATGTCACATTATTAAAATGGTACGATATATGGGATGATTTAATTAAGCTTGGTTTCTGATTAATTACTCCAGGGTTGCTTTAATGAAAGGCAGTTTAAATATTCTAGGTTAGTGATCAGTATGGCAGAACTAGCCATTCATGTCTTACAGGCATTAAACCCTTTGTGCCCAATGGCAATTCAATTTCCTTAGAAACCTTGTTATTGGCTGCATTTACTGCCTGCTAGAACTAATAAGTCTTTCAGATACAGGACAGCGACATCTATTGGTCTTAAGTTATTAAGTGTGGTTTCTTTGGCAGTAAAAATAATGATAATAATAA